GCCAGACAAAAATCCCTTATCCTAGGCCTGGAGGTTGGGACAGATGCCTGGTGTATTAGCACAGTTTGTTTGTGTGTCAAACTGCATCACCCAAACTGCCCGAGAACCCACACACCATTCTTCCTAGGATACAGCACTCAGCTGTGGCATGCCTCCCAACCCCATGGCAACACATTCAGGAGTCACATTTATTTGCATGTTATTGACTTGCAATGTCTCATTATTTGAGCCTGTTTCCCATAAACTTTTCTCTTGTTGATTGCAATGTCTGAGTGTTCAATGGGGTGCTCTTGCTGGGGCAACTAACGCCAAATAAAACAGCAGTCTCTCTCACCAACTTAGTACAGCAATTAGCATCCACACAGTTTACTAGGTTTGTTAGCTACTTGATGCAATACCAGCTGAGCTCCATGTACCTTCTTGACAAGCCATCAGATATGTCCCTGAGTCTGACAGTGTTCGGCTCCTGCACATTGGATCAATGTGGATTTGGGGTTGGTTTGGAGTTTGATGCTAGAGGCACTGAACTGTCCATGAGGCAGTTTATTAGTTTATATTTGTTTTTAAAAAGTAATTTGTAAAGCATCTCATTACAAAATCTAAAAAGTAGTTCCTATTAATGCTGCAGAGTAACTCAGGCTGCAAACACAAGGTCAAATGCCACACAATTTGCTGTGGGTATAAAACAGGTTAATTTAATGTATTTTAACTGATCACACAATGCAAATACCAAATTGAATCAATCCACCCCTTTTTGCTCATGGTGTGTTTTTTCTCGATTTGCTGTGGGTATAAAACAGATTAATTTAATTTATTTTAACTGATCACACAATCAAATACCAAATTGAATCAATCCGCCCCTTTTTGCTCATGGTGTGTTTTTTCTCTGCTGCTGGGAGTGCCTACCTTTTTCAAGCCAGAACGATTGAAAAGGACTTTTCCCCCATGTGAGCAGCTGTTTTGTTCTGCAAAATGATGTGTCTCTGTGTGTGTGGTGTTGTGGCAACATAAGCAGTTGAGGCATGATGTTTTGGGACTGCATGAGCACCTGCCCAAGAGAACTAACCTCTGAGTGTCCAGGATTTTTTTAAATAAATGAATTAAGCACTGAGTCACTGCATTGACATAGCAGTTTAGCACCAGATCCTCTTGGCATAGAAAAAAAAGTCAAACTCACGCCCACCCACCCAAAGCAGCACTTTGGCTCCTGCCTCACATGCACACACCAGCACTCACCTCTCCTTGCAAAGCCTCTCTCCCAAGACACATTTAAAACAGCCCTCCTAGGCAGAGCTCCTGTTCTCCCAAGATACATTTAAAAACAGCCCTCCTAGGCAGAGCTCCTGTTTATTTATTATTTTTTTTCCAGCTTAACCAGCTATCCTGGTGGCAAGTTGATGAAATAGTCATTAGGAACAGAAAGCTGTCTTAAGGCAATTCTTTTTAACTGCACCACTTTCAGGTGCTTCAAATGGAACTGCAGTTCATTTTTTCCTCCTCTGCCTGCATGCCCTCTTACATCAAAGAGAACCAAATGCCTTGGTGCAATTTCACAGCAAGAGAAAGTAACACATTTCCATTGCTGTGTAGTAACATCTTCACTTTATTATTTAATATATCGCGTGCAACTTTTTTTGTTACTTATAACTTACTCTTAATTTTGGAGTTTTGAATAAGGTTTTGGGAGGGAACCCTACATTTATAAAAGAATGGCATACAACTTGAGCACTTCCACTCAAAATGCGTAAAGAATCAAGAACTAGAAAAATATATTTGTGACATCAAAAAGGTAACATTATTCCTACTTGTTGCATGACTCTTGAAATAAAACATCATTACAAAACCTCCATAAGTCATTATAGATAACCAGAACTGACCTAGCCATTTGAAAGCATGAAGTGCTTGCCTCAGGTGATCGAATGCTGAGGGTGGTGAAGCTGCAACTGCCAACACAGAGACACACACATCTGTGCATTAATTGGCTGCTGTCAAGGTGGCAAGAAGCCTCTTCTCTTAGGCACTGCCTGCCTGGCTCCACAGTGCTGCAGCTTCTCAGTTGGCTATGTGAATAATGTCTGGCCTCATGAGCCCTTGAGCCAAGGAATTATTTGAAGGGTGGGGACACTTGAAAAATATAAAAATTAAAATAAAATAAAAAACCACCTGTCATAGCACAGCAACATCTCAGCCAGGTATAAATCATGTCTAGCTCACAGGGCTCAAATTATTATGGGGAAGAGTGGAAATGTCAGTCAATCTTGTTCATGTAGGAAGCCAAGCAGTAGTCACATTATGAAGGTGGGCAAGCCATGTCTACAAGGAAGAAGACTTTGCTGTTGCCCCTCCTCTGGTCTTTCTTCCCCGTGAACGTTGCCATAGGATAGTAGAGGCAGGATTTCTTGGGTACCAGTACTACAGGTAGCTATATGAAAGTAAAGGCCTGTCCAGAGTAGCCATTTTGGGTGTGGGGTAAATTGGGCTACAAAGTGTCTGTTGAGTTTGGGACAGGAGCGGTGTGCCATTTGGTGTGCTCTTCTCACTTAAACAGCAAATGACCCCTTCTAGCCCCATCAGCTGTCAATTAAGCACTTCCCCTGATCATTTGTGGAGGATCAGGGGAAGTAAAGTTATTTTTTTCACTTTGTTCCTCTCTCCCCTTTTCAGGGTTTTCTCCCTTCCCCCCTCCCTGCTTCCCTTCCCTCATTCTCTCCCACTTTCCTTTCAAATTCTACTTTGGTATCTGCAGTTGTCAGAAGCTGCTATCTCCTGGCTAACAAGCTTGTCAAAAAAGAATGCATGCCCTACTGTTGGGCCAGAAAGATGTGCAACAGCTGTTAAAGAGGAAGGATGGATCATTCTACGTAGAAACACTTGTAGACAAGGTCTTGTTTTCCCCTGATCAAAACTGTGCCCTCAAAGATCAATATATGTACCATATCTATATGCCAGTGTGAAGAGGCCCTAAGTTAGCACCTTCAAGTTCTGCACCTTCCTCGTAATTCTGACTTCCTGTTTATTCAAAACTGCTTGTGGCTGGAAGTTCCAGGCACATATTGCTTTTAAAGGACATTTACAAGGGTAACGTTTGGTTACTGGCCAAACAATGGTGTTTTTTTCCATATCAGTCTCTTGGACCAAAAACTGCCTACTGCCAACCTAATTCCTTCCTCTTTATTTTAGCTGAAAAAACTGGAGCACTAGTTAAAAACAGCTAACATTTAGTTTCTTTCTCTGAGCATTAAGATAATACCAGGTTTTATTGTTCTCATGCTAAAGATACATAACATTGCAAATCATGTTCCACAAGTAGCTTGATCAACATTCTTCTCCCAACTATTTTGTTTGCTAAATGAAAGAAAAAGAGAAAGCACATTATAGTGTCATCATTTTCGGCAGCATCTGAAATGTATAAAAGGTAGAAACATCAGAGGTATTTCTGCTAATATGGAGATACAGAAGGTTCTACATTCAATTCTATTATGCAAAAACAGGAGATGGGAAGAACTGGCATGAAATCATTAAAATGAGTTCCATTAATCTGAATTTCTTAAGTAACCACCCAATAATAATAATTTCTTTCATAACAATTACATGATGCAGTTATGAATCCCAGTTTCCTCCTTCAGAAGAAAAATAAAATAAAATACAGCAAGCTGCATTGCTTGCTACAGCGAACTGATGGCACAGAAACTGTCATCAGGAGAGGCCCATCCTGAGGGCCTTTCACAGATGAGTTCCCATCACCTGAAAATAATGTAAATTCTCTACTAGAATTTGAAGCAAAACTCCTCTATGAGCTCAGCTGGCTTGGGAATGTGGTCTGGCTGCAGCATGCACTGGGAAAATTTATCTCCTTTTATACTGCCACTGAAATAGAATACCAACAAATGTAACAAGGGATCTGGATTGGTTGGAGTGTGAACAATTTCCCCCTTCTTTATCATTTTTTGATCTATAGCACATTGATACTATGAAGTTTTCTCCCACCTTCTCCCTGTGAGGTCACTACTATCACCAGTTTCCAGAGTTTTCTTCAGTTCCAGAGTTTCCATCAGTTTCCTGAGTTTTCTTCAAGCTCAGCAGTAGATTGCTGCACTTGGCAAGTAATAATAATGCTAATAATTGCTTCTGTTGCTGCACAGACAAGGGCAAGAATGGGATTGGAGGGGGAGTTCAGTTGGGGCCAGGTAATATACAAATAAGCACTCCATGCAGCTGCCTCCCTAGACATCTCCACTTGCTGAAATTGAATATAAAGCTGGCTGATTGCTCTCTGCGCCTTACCCTAGGCCGAAAATATATATTTGCCCTTTCCATCGCACTGTTAAATCAGTGTGTTATATTTCTTAAATGAGAAGGTTGCCAAATTTTCCAGTAGAGTAGGAAAAGCAGATTTTAAAAGGTGCATCTTAAAAGGAAATTGTGTTATTCAAGTGCTTCCTGGCAATGAAGTTACTGTTATCATTGCTCTGATCCCATGAGTAATGCTGCATTGCATGGCATTAATGGGTTGTGCTATCATTACCAAAAGGCTAGGAAGATGTAGGAAAATACTCTCTGGCAGTCAATTCTGATATTGCACCAAATATTTATATAAAAAGAGAAAAACCAAAAGAATATTTCCTTTGCCAAAGAGCACAGTATAAACCTGAAAATATCTTGTCAAAATGCCTCAAAAATGTTCTTTAGAAGTAACTTTTCAAAGTAAATATGTGCTACTCTTCTCACCTTAATAACTTAGGTGTTACTTACTACAGGTAGAAAACAACTTTGTAACAACTAGTTACATTGTTCATTGCTCACAAATGTAATTAGTAATATAACTAAATTACTTGCAACTAGTTATTTCCACTCTCAGGCAGAGAGTCTCGGCTGGATGAGGAAGCCTGCTTGGAAAAGCCAGCTCAAAAGTGACTCTCAAGTAACAGTGGAAAGCCTGAAACACACCTGAAATCTCCTTGTGCTGCTCAAATGTCCTTATGTTCAGGGTTGTTCATCATCTAATAGGACCTTTTTTTTCATGTATGTGGGGCTAGAAGATTATATTTTTGCTCCTTTCGAGCAAGTTAATATTAATTCCAATACAAATATAATTCTGAAGTAGATTCCTTGTCATTGTATCTAATCCTGGACATTTTTACCCACCCCACCCACCCCGCCTGCTCCCTCAGGTGAGCCTGCAACAGCGCCTCAAAGGAAGTCACATCCATTCCCAGAGAGCAGCCAGGGAGGGAGTGGTTGAATGGACTTGAGATGCTAGCTCCCCCGAGTGGCACATTGTCGTCTGGTAAGTCCTAGGGCTCAGGTGCCTTGGCCATTTCTCTTCTGGTGACATGGCAGACAGCAGCGCTCCTTGTGTCCACTGCTCACAGAACAAGCGTGACACACAGTGTTCCGGCACAAACTGAAAGAGAAGGAAATAAGAACAACATCAAAGAGAAGAAGGGACAACTTTGTTGTTGAGAGCTGATTTACTGATGTGATGACCAGCATGTTTCCACGTGATATGAAAGCAGTTGCTCACTTACTGTATGACAGGTGACTGAAATCAGGTTCATCAACTCTGTTGGCTATTCATTCTCACTTACGTGATGGCAAAGGCCTAAATCCAGCTGCTAGTCTCAATCAGAGCAGATCCACTGAATCAACAGAGCTTACTTATCCATTTATTTAACCATTCTGCAGTTGATTCAACAGTCTACTGTTGCTGGCACTAGTAATTGGACTGAGAGTGGAATCTGAAATACATATACTAAGTTATATGTTCCACTGATTTCACGGGTGCTTACTCCCAGGTAAGTGAACATAAGACTACAGTCTAACAACATAACTCTATACATGATTACTCATATATTATAATATACTGTACTGATTTAGGTGTACTCACATGTCTGAATAAGCATGTAAAGAGGCAGGCTGCATAACAGTGATATTCTGCAAACTTAGGTCAAGAACATCTTTTAAAGGGGATGGTAAATGCTTTTTATACTTTTTAATGTATTGCTTCTAGATTTTGTCACTGTGACATGGTAAATAAAAGATGACCATTTGAAAAAAAAATCAATTTAATATACTTCTGTCCCATTCAATTCACAGAAGCAGCAGAAGGCTGGTTTAAAGTGTCTCATGTGAAAATGATGTCTCTTTTTTAAGCAGCCTCAACAGAATTGACAATTCCTAATGACCATAATTAGATTGTGCAATCTCTTCCTACATCAGAATAAAATTCAGAATCCTAACCAACACCCAGGCTCTGAAATTAGAATTAAAGAAGACATATTTCTTTGAAAACAACGTTCACACTGTGGTAGAAATGGCTTACTCTGAAAATCAACATCATTCCCTAAAACGTTTACAAAGCACTGAACGTGCTCTCTGAGATCCATGCTATACTCTCTTCCATGGTGATGTCCAGCATGGTAATGAAGTTATTCCCCTATGAATTAAATAAAGCACCATTAGCAGCCCAGAAGCCAAGGCAGCAGGAGGGAACAAGGGCTGACATGGCGCCTAAGGGCTCCGTCTTGGGTACTCCTACTCTACCCAAATGCGATGCCTCTCTCTTAAAGAAGGCATGGATTCTGGGGCAGGAGTGCCTCAGGGAATGCCTTCAGTATCTGGAAAAACAACAAACAAATGGGTAAATCATATTTTTCGCTTTTAACCCCCACTCCCCCATGCCATGTAACTTAATGTAACACAAAAAAGCCTAGCTGTTGAAATGGCAAGACCTGCATCTTGTGAGGTAGTTCCCATTTTGCATCAACTTTTGCCCTGCTCGCCATCTGCGAAAACCTCAAGGTCTTATTTTGGATCCAGACTTCCCCTCTCTGCAGCTGCTGTTTATTATACTGTCCCACTTTCTAACTTTAGAGGTGGGTGGACAAAATCTAGGGGGCTGGGAGGCATATTTGCTGTTCTCCAGAACCTGGAGGGCTCTGCATCTCCTCTAGTATCCCTACACCCTCTCCCAATTTTCTTTTGCAAATCACTCTGACAGAGACACTGTTCCGACTGCTCCTCCCTTCCTGGTTCCGCACAAGTTAAATAAATGGATCAATTACCTGCACTGATATCGACGGGACATGAGCCGGAAATCCTTTTTGCACAGAGTACACATCCCTGAGTTCTGAGGAGCCGTACATGCCTCTGCAGAGGCAAGGCTTTCTGTCTTCTGCCACAGGGCATCCTTCTCCCTGAGGAGAGCAAGTGAGCTGGTAAGAGAGCAAGACAGATCACAACCTCTTGCATTTGCAAAGAGGTAATGAACACCAGTTGGAGGCCAAATCGATAAAGCACTGATTATAGAACTGCTTGGGATCACAAAGCTGATTCTGTTCAACCCCCTGCTGATGCAAGGCAGTGAGTGAAGAACTTGGAAAAGTTACTTTTTTACTACACATCACATGCTTGCAAGGGATTCCAGAAAAAATAACTTGTCCCAGGTTTAGGAAGGGGAATTGCTTGGGATCACAAAGCTGATTTTGTCCAACCCCCTACTGATGCAAGGCATTGAGTGAAGAACTTGGAAAAGTTATTTTTACATGCTAGCAAGGGATTCCAGGAGTTGTATCTCAGAAAAAAATAACTTGTCCCAGGTTTAGGAAGGACACTACTCTCTCTCTTCCATCTTTTTTTGCTCTCCATCTGCTCACCGCAATAACTCCAGCAGCTTTTTTTTCATACTGTAGATAAGCTCCCTCTCTTCCAATAACTCTTGCTTATTTTTCTTCTCTTTTTCCTCTGATTCTTGGTGACTTTTCTCCAGCAGAAGCTGCAACTCTTTCTTTTCCTGTTGACACCTAAGCAAGAAGATAATACTTGTAGTCTTATTACATATGTTGTTTTTGCTACTGTGTGACATCATCATCCTTGACTTATGACAATGCTAATGACCTCCAAAAGGCCCTATCATTAATAACAGATTCTGCAACCACGAAGACCAGTATCCTGTTCAGTTTACCATAGGTATAACTGTACTTAGCAGCCGTGGTGCTGTCAAGAGGCCCAGACACTTTTCCTGTTTATGTGGTTGCTCATACAATCAGTTGCATGACCAGCCCTGAGAATGGAGAAACAACCAGACCTCTCCACAATGCTATATGTTTGCTTCCATATTTGCAATTATATGTGATGCAATAATTGGATGACATGTTCTTACAGTCCTGTTATGATTTTTCCCAAAGATTCCTGGAAGTCAGAGATAGTGAAGTGCTGTTACAAACACCTCCCCCCACTGCACCAAGGTTTCTAAGATGAGTGATGATTAGAGACGGTGGTACTTGTATTTGTATACAAATATGAACATACCAGCACAGGTGGCATTAACAAGGGCCCAGCCCCATGTGGCCGGATGGTCCACTCACTGATCCACCATGGACGGGGACGGCACAATTCTACCAATGGCTCTGCAGCATGCGATCCGCTCACCACTCCTGGCAGGAAGCCAAGCCTCGTTGCAAGGCTGAAGAGTGGCTCCCAGATCGCACGCTGCAGAGTCACCGGTAGAATCGTGCCATCCACGTCTGATCGGTGAGTGAACTGTCTGGCCCCATGGGGACATGCTGCAGAGTCACTGGTAGAATCATGCCATCCACATCTGATTGGTGAGTGAACTGTCTGGCCCCATGAGGCTGGATCCTCATTAGCGCCACATCTCTAGTGATGACTGTATGGACTCCACAGGTTGACATACCACAACTACCAGAAGCCCTTGTCTGATAAACAATAGAAAAGCATGGAACAAATGTAGTCCAACAATCTCTGGAGAGTTGTACACTCCCAATGGCTGGTTTACAATGAAGAGGAAATGACTGTTCAATTGGTTTAAGCCTATAATATAGTTTAAGGCACCCCTGACTCTTGGAATCTCTCCTAGTGCTCTAGGCCAGTGGTCCCCAGATGTTGGGCCTCCAGATGTTCTTGGACTTGAAAAGCATGGAACAAATGTAGTCCAACAATCTCTGGAGAGTTGTACACTCCCAATGGCTGGTTTACAATGAAGAGGAAATGACTGTTCAATTGGTTTAAGCCTATAATATAGTTTAAGGCACCCCTGACTCTTGGAATCTCTCCTAGTGCTCTAGGCCAGTGGTCCCCAGATGTTGGGCCTCCAGATGTTCTTGGACTTCAACTCAACTCCCTCCTGGCCAGCAGAGGTGGTGGTGAAGGTTTCTGGGAGTTGTAGTCCAAGAACATCTGGAGGCCCAAGGTTGGGGACCACTGCTCTAGGCTGTCTCTTGCTCACCGCCATGGCCTCATGGCAGAGCACATGTGCAAGGAAGGATCAGGCAAAGATCACTGATCATAATGAGTAGAACAGCATGCCAAGGCAAGTTCACTGCCAAGACCCCAAGTGCTCTTTCACCAACGCCATGGCCTCATGGCAGAGCACATGTGCGAGGAAGGATCCCACTGATCATAATGGGTAGAACAGCATGCCAAGGCAAGTTCGTTGCCAAGACCCCAAGTGCTCTTTCACCAACACTCAGTGGCACACGGTCCTTGGAGGATATCCATACCTCACCAAACACTGATCAAGATCTAACTAGGAATTACCTTTGGCTAGGAAGTTATATGCTCACACACTCATTACTTTGTTGAGCAACCAACTGCTCCCAACTAAAGGAATGCCACTCTTACTACAGAACTGATGACAAATGAGTGTCAGAGGACAGGTCATGTGCAGGCAAATCTATGCATGTTCTATGATAGCCACTCATAACTCAGCATCTTCTAGACATACTGGATTACACTCCCCATCATCTCCTCCCAGAATGGCCTGCATGGTGACAAGTGATATGGGAGATGCAGTCCATCTTGGAAAACAGAGGGCAGAGGAAATGCCATTCTAAGGCCACAATGAATCATGAATTGCTGGGAAAGGTATCTAAAGGAAGAGGGAGAGGTGGGGTATGAGAGTTCCTGCTCTGTGTGGGTCTCCAGGGTTGGCCTGAGAGTAAAAGCCCACCCATCAATCAGATTAAGGGAATTTGTGAATGGCAGAAAAAGTGCTTTGAACGAGCTCAGTTCCATGGCAGCCTTGGGCTGTCTGTACTGGCAGTGACCTTCCAGAGTCTCAGGAAGTGGTGGGTCCCTCTCATCCCTTTCTCCCTGGTCCTTTTAATTGAAGATGCCACAGACTGAACCTCAGATCAACATGTTCTTCTCCCCCTGAGTCAACAGTGATGAAGTCATCAGCATAACAAGCACTAATGGTTGAGCCTCACATCTCCTGAACACAAAGCATGCTGTCTACCAGAGCTATAGATAGTTCCTCATGAAAGGTAAGAGCTATCGGAACTGCTTCATTTCTCTCACCGGCTCAGCTGCTCCATGAGATGCTTTGTTGTGTTTTCCTTGGTTTGTAGCGTCTGCTTTGCCTGCCGAACATTCTCTATTATTATATCCAAATGGCTAGTAAGACACTGAGGAAAATTAGATAAGTGGGGGGAAAGCAATAAATAATTAGTAGTTTGCAAGTCTTAGGGTATCATGCACACTATCATGCAAGCAAGGTTGCCTGGAATTCTTCAGTTCTTAAGAGTTTCCAAGGCTTTGGCAAAAGTTCCAAAATTGAGTGCTATATAGGTCCTTCCCTTCAGAAAATACCACTGGTTATGGATTGCTAGAATTTGCAGCCACTTAGCTGTCTGGTGCCCACCGCTGAAAGTCCCTATATTAAGCCACATTTCTCCTTCCCCAAAACATGTTGTTTGCTGTTGTTTCGCCTTATATGCTGCCCTATAGTGCTAAAGCAATCTCTGGGAGGTTTGCAACACAATTATTCAAGGAACACTGTCCCCCTCATCCCTAGTGAGCTCGGTACTCATTTGACAAACTTCAGAAGGATGGAAGGCTGAATCAACTATTTGACAAACTTCAGAAGAATGGAAGGCTGAACCAACCTTCAAGCAGGCAACCTGAGCCCATTGCAATCGAACTCAGGTCATGAGCAGAGGCTCAAATGCAGTACTACAGTTTAACCAAGCTGGCAACCTGAGCCCATCGCAATCGAACTCAGGTCATGAGCAAAGGCTCAAATGCAGTACTACAGTTTAACCAACATCATTTTGCCTAATGCTTTGTGCGTATTTCAGAACTGGCCTAGAAAACCTCTAGCTGTCCAGATGTTTTGAGCTTCAGTAACCAAAGTCCCAGCATGCATGACCGATTTTGAAGGATTATGGGAACTACAGTGTGAAATGTTTGGAGGGTATAAAGTTCTTTAGTCCTGTTGTATAGAAATCATTAAAGAACACAAGGAAGGGCATGATGGGTCAAGCCCAAAAACCCATCTCATCTAGTATCCTGTTCCCAAAAGCAAACAAGAAAAGGCCAACACACCAAGGCAAGAGGGAAATCTTGGAAAAGTTACTTTCTGCATACAGCTCTGTGAATATCATAGGCAACATAGCTGGCTGGTAGATTCTGAAAAGTGCAGTCCAGAAAGTAACCTTTCCAAATTCTGGGCACTAGCCCTCCCTTGACCTTTGACTCATAGATTTGTTATTTGCCAATCTTCTTCCCACGGAGGTGCCCCCTTCTCTTGCTGGAGGGGCTTAGAAGTCTCCCACAATCATCCTCTCTTCAGATCCTTCTTTTCAAGACACCGGAAGAAATACGGTAATCAAAGCAGTCACATTATCACCATCTCCTCTCTTCAAAAACTGTGTCAAAAACTACGTATCTTCTGCTTCTGAGACTGTACCTTGGTCTGCAGCCTCCATGCACAAAGGTGGTGCTGGTCTTTCTTATTTAGACTTACCCAACAACCAGGATAAAGTCCTCTTTGCTTTCCTGCAAAGAGACACCCAGACTAACCGACATTCCTTGGGATGGTAGTGTTCTAAGAGGGGCTCACTAACAACAACACTGGCAGCCTCAACAAGCTTGTTCAAAGGAAAGATGCCGGTTCCTTTTCAACTGGAATGCAACTTGCCCTAGGTCCTCTCTCACAAAGGAAGGAAGATGCCCATTTCCAATGGTTGTCTACAATCTACTCAGGGTCAGGATACCCTGCCTCCACATGTAGCAACATAATGTGCGTGAATCCAGGATGGGGACTCAAGTCGCGGGACTTGCTGTCAAGTTGGACTTAAGTCACACCAGTGACTCAACTGGAACTTGACTCAGGTTTATTTTCCCCAATGACTCAGAGTCAATTTGTGATTCAGAACCCACCCATTCCTTCCTCTCTGGGGAAAAAAAGCTTGCTTTTAATAGGGACTTGGGACTTTGGTACCTGGACTCTGAACTTGGACCCAAAGACTTGCCAATGTCCCGACTCAGAACCCACCTATTCCTTCCTCTCTGGGGAAAAAGATTGCTTTTAATAGGGACTTGGGCCTTTGGTACCTGGACTCCGAACTTGGACCCAAAGACTTGCCAATGTCCCTGGTGTGGATCAACAACATGCCTACCTTCCCATGAGCTTCAGTTCTATGTTTGGCACTACCACTCTTTTTTACAGGTCTTTCCAAACCATGCAGCTCATCATCTTGAAGAACATCTTTGTCTGTGAGGCATGATCTCACTATTCCATAGGTATTTTTTTCTGCACTAGTACCCTTCTGCATCCCTGGACTTGTGGCCTCCTCATCCCCTACAGGCCACTCCCAGCACTGTTCCAACAGCTCCTTTGCCCTGCTAGTGGCCTGCATTTTTTCCTGCTCGAGCTGCTCCACTTGGTTTTTCAGCTGCAGACACTGCTGCCTCAGGGCAGAAGTCACAGTTTCATTTTCCTCCTGCAAGGTTTTCTGTAGTGCTTGGCTGGTGGCCTTCACAGCCTCCAGTTCACTCCTTAGCTGTGTGACCTCTTGAGTCTGTCCTTCTAGAGTAGCAGCAGTGCTCTCTGCGTGCTTCGCCAAGGCCTCTCTTTCTTCAAGAAGTTGCTGCAGAGTGGCTTGGAGCTGCTGCTTTTCCTCTTGTAGCCTGGCCAGCTCCTTTTCAAAAGCTCCCAGTTGCCCCTTCAGTTCCTGTAAAGTTTTTTCATACCTGCCCTGTTCCTCAGCAATTTGAACTTCCAACTGAGACTTCTTGCTGTTCACTTCCTGTAACTGAGCTTCCAAAGTAAGTTTTTCCCCCAAGGCTTTTTGGAACTGGGCCGACTGGTCTTGTAGGTTTCTTTGCAAGTCCTGTGCTCCTGCTTCTTTGTTCCTCAGGGCCTTCTCCTGTTCCTCAAGAGATGTCTGTAAAATAACAACATGCTCTTGACAAACCAACAGTTTCTTCTGTAGGTCCTCAACTTCTAGTTTTGTAAACATTAGGCTTTGCTCCCGAGACACCAAAGTTTCCATAAGAGTCTCCCTCTCCTTTTCCAGTCCTTCTATCTCTGCAAGGTTCCTCTCTAATTTCTCTCTCAGGAGACTCTTTTCCAACATGATCTCTTCTGGCTTGTATCTCGTCCCTTCTGACAGTTCCTCAGTCATCCCCAGCTGGTCATGGTGGCTGTTCAGGGCTGACACTTGTGTTTCCCACCTCTCCAAATTCTCTTCACATGCCTTCAGTTTTTCCTGCAGCCCCTGACATCGAGAGACCATCAGCTGATGCCTTAGCTCCTGGGCCTTGATGTCCGCCAGATGTTTTCTCCTCTCTGCCTCCAGAGAACTCAGCCTTTGTTCTACCTCTTCAAGACCCCTTTCAGCAGCTCTTTTCTTGTCCCTTGCCTCCTGGCATTCATTGGTCAAACTGGCAATCTTTTCTTCTGCTTTTCTGATGGACTCTACTACTTCGGCCATTTCCTGCTGTTGCTTTTCTTGTTCATCCATTTTCTCCCTGTATTGCTCTTCGTGCTTTGCCAGCTGTTCTTTCAGAGCCCGGTTTTCCTCAGAAAAGGTTTGTCTCAGGGATATATTCTCCTCTTGTTGCTGGGCCAACTTCATCCGCAAATCATCAAGCTCCGACGTCAATATTCTCAAATCCTTCTGTTTCCAGCAGCTGCCACCTTCAGACATCACCTGAGGTGGCCTCTCCATGTCCGTACAGAGGTAGTGTTGGGGCTGAGAAAGCAAGGAATATAGTTCTTGGGTGGAAGAAATGTTGCTTGGCTGCTCCTTGCTTTGTTCCTTCAACTGGAGTACCTTCAATTCACTGCTTAGTCGCTGACCCTCTTTGCCTGCGACTGGAAGTTGGACCTGCCTTTCCATAAAATAATTCAGATTTAGGAGGGAGCCCATCTGCAGCAGACTGTTCTTTCTGCGTCTCCAGACCCCAACCCATTTCTCCACTGAATTTTCTAGCTCAGGCCTGAGTAGATCATCAGGTGGTGTCTTCGGGCCATAGTGTTCTTTGGTTCTTAAAGAACCTCCATGAGTTTGGTTGCTCACAGGATCTCTGTGTGAACTGATCACCTAAAGCAAATAAATAAATAAATAAATAAATAAATAAATAAA